CATGTTTATTATACATTTTGGGAGACAAAAGAATATTGAACAGGAACACAAATTATATTAATATTCTTATGAAATATTAGATATTATTATGAAAATCTGTCCAATTACTACTCCCATTATTACACTTCTTTTTTCAACATGCTGTCCCAACAGCACTTTAATATGCAAATTAGATACAGTGTATAGATAACATTGTGCTTAATGGGAAAACCAGTTTATGGAATTTTTACACACATATTGCATGAAGCAAAATGGTATAGCAGATCATTTTGTTATATATTTTATAACATAGTTGAGAACCATCCTTAAAGTTAGGTATAAAAAATCCTGAAACCTAAAAACTGATTGGTGATTTTAAAAAATCACCAAAAAAATCATGTCTTTTCAGTCCTGCGACCATTTCTCTCTTATGCTCTAAACAATGTAATGACATGAAAAAATACTAAATTCACAAAGCTTTTTATTTCTGGTTCTCAGGAGGATATTAGTAGTTTAAACATGGTTTACATTTCAGGGAGGTTTTGCATTGGTCGAAAAACCTTTATTTTGCCATCTGCTGTCGCGTTTCTGTGTCGTCATTTCCTGTCAGAGGAAGGCAGTGAGTTGGAGCTTTATGATTTCTTAAAGAACAGCGTATTAACGCTTTAAATCAACCTGATTTGGATTTGTTGGAATGAAAGCCTCCTTTTAATGCATGTGATTACAGTGACATTCTATTTTAACATCGTTATATCGTGATATTCAGGATAGTATGCGCGCTCATTAATATATGTGTTTATTAAAATAATCAGATGCATTATTTACTGATGTGATTTAATATGCTTATTTACTGATGTGGTTACAGTAGTCTGTGTTTTTAGGTTTAATTAGAAAAAAACGGCTGTGAATTGCCTACAATATATGATCCTATTCGTGTTGTCAAAAGAGATTGAGAAGTAGGACATTTTAATATTTGAATACATAATTAATCTCATAAGGACAATTTTTTTTGGTAAACTGTCATTATAAATTTTGTTAACAACTTCTATTGCAATAGACTTACATTTTACCTGGGTCATTTAAATTTGGAGGAAATATGTATATATATTTGTATGTGTTCATTTAGATCCAGCAATTCTGCTTTTATTTAATTTTGTTATATGCGTATTTAATTAGCTGTCTACCACCCTGCTCCATAGACATCAGCATCGTTTAATCATTAATGCAATTATATTCAATCCCATTTAATTCTATTCAATGATATAAATAGTTGAAGATATAGTTAGATTACTACAAAGGCAAAAATTGCAATGAATAAATAATTGATTAAAGTAAGTGCCTCTTTATGGTTCAAATGCTCATGTACAAGATGTGTTTGAACCATTTCTCACATTTCCATTACTATGCATTTCATAACAGTAACTGTTTTTTCTTCTTCACAGAAAATCCAGTCATGTCGTGGATTCGAGAGAGGCAGCTCTCTTTTTTAGAAAGGCTCACTGCCAACATCCTAAAGGTGCTTTTTCGGAGGATCTGTACTGTACATTGAACTGAAACAATGACCTAACACCCTGATGACTTTCTTAAACTCTTTTTATGTCTCAGGCAGGGCCTATGCCCAAACATGTGGCCTTCATCATGGATGGTAACAGGCGTTTCGGTCCAGTCATGTCGTGGATTCGAGAGAGGCAGCTCTCTTTTTTAGAAAGGCTCACTGCCAACATCCTAAAGGTGCTTTTTTGGAGGATCTGTACTGTACATTGAACTGAAACAATGACCTAACACCCTGATGACTTTCTTAAACTCTTTTTATGTCTCAGGCAGGGCCTATGCCCAAACATGTGGCCTTCATCATGGATGGTAACAGGCGTTTCGCCCAAAAGGCACATGTGGAGAGGCAGGAGGGCCACTCGCAGGGTTTTGAGAAGCTGGCAGAGGTGAGTATGCAGATAATAACAGTCTGAGATGGATTAATTGACCAATATTTTGCCAATTTGACTGCTTGACCGATTAACAGAAGTGTTAAGTGTTCCCTTTTCTGTCAGTTATATCAATGGATACATTTTTTTTTCAAATATTTTAATAAATATTGTGTAAAATAAATGTTAATTTTATTTCAGTAATTTGTGCTTTCTCACTGGTTTTTACATTTTATTGCATTACTATTCAAAAGTTTGGGGTCTGTAAAATGTTTTTAATGTTTTTGAAAGTAGTCTCTTCTGCTCACCAAGGCTGCATTTATTTGATCAAAAATACAGTAAAAACAGTAATATTGTGAAAAATGATTGCAATTAAAAAAATGTAATTTATTTCTGTGATGCGCAGCTGAATTTTCAGCATCATTGCTCCAGTCTTCAGTGTCACATGATCTTCAGAAATCATTCTAATATGCTGATTTGCTGCTCGAGAAACATTTCTGATTATCAATCAACAACAAAAAACAGTTCTGTGGCGTCTTCATTGTTTTATGGAAACCATGATATTTTTCAGGATTCTTTGATGAAAAGAAAGTTCAAAAGAACAGCATTTATTTGAAATAGAAATCTTTTGTAACATTATAAATGTCTGGACTGACAAATTGATCAAATTAATGCATCCTTGCTGAATAAAACTAGTAATCTTTTCTCCAAAAAAAATATTTGAGCAATGTATATTTATGCTCAATCTCTTAATATGCAATGTTTAAACTCACATAGACGCTCCGCTGGTGCTTAAACCTGGGCATTCACGAGGTGACTGTATATGCATTCAGCATTGAGAACTTCAAGCGCTCCAAAGAGGAGGTGGATGGTCTGATGGAGCTGGCCAGACAGAAGTTCAGCCGCCTGCTGACAGAGCAGTAAGTCGCTCCTGCACAAGATCTGTTCACCTATTTGATGGCTAAATATCTATACAATCTATATGTGAATTTGTCCTAATTTCTAGGGAGAATCTGGAGAAGCATGGTGTGTGTATTCGTGTGCTGGGAGATCTGACTCTTCTGCCTGCAGATCTGCAGCAGCTTATTGCCAAATCTGTAGTGGCAACTAAAGCACACAACAAGTAAGCGCTGCATGATGCTATTTTATTAGTTTGACCTTCTATTGTATAGAAATTCAAAATTAATAGAATTTTGCGCAATATTGCCTAGCCCTATTCAATAAGCAAGTACACTTTGCACTCTATTCTCTGGTCAAAAGTTTAAGATCTGTAAGATTTTTTTTTTTAATGTTTTTGAAATAAGTATCTTCTGCTCACCAAGGCTGCATTTATTTGATCAAAAATACAGTAAAAACTGTAAAAAATGGGATATATTATTACAATTTAAAATATATATTTTAGATTTTGATATATTGTAAAATGTAATTTATTTCTGTGATGCGCAGCTGTATTTTCAGCATCATTACTCCAGTCTTCAGTGTCACATGATCTTCAGAAATCATTCTAATATGCTGATTTGCTGCTCAAGAAACATTTCTGATTATTATCAGTTGTGAAAACAGTTGTACGGTGATTCTTTGATGAATAGAAAGTTCAAAACCTGTACAATTATGTAAATAATGCGTATGTGTGTCTTAACCGATGTCTACCACGTTTTTGTCTGTATTGTAATAGTTTTTTATTATTTGTGTTAAATTGCCGGTGTGATTCCACTGTGGCCAGCAGAGGCGCCGAGACCAGCAGCAGCTTCAGCTTCCGTCTGAGCTCTGAAACCCGAGCGGGGAATTCGGTCATTGTTGCTTTAAGAGATAAGCGACGCCCAGCGACACGTGACCACTCTCGCAGCCAATCGCTGCACGGAATGTGCAAAATCTGGTTTTAACCGGTTTCTATCTTAAATTTCAATATAAAAACTTAATAAAACACATACAGCCGTTATTGTATTTTACGCGAGACGCTGTGAGGCGTGCAGGGTGTCGTTGCTCAGGAGAACAATATTTACAGAAAGATTTAGATTTTTTGGCATTTTTTCGGCGGTTTTCTGCAGTCAAGATGCCCAAAAGAAAGGTAAGGATGCACTGCGGTTTTTTATATTTCTGAAAAAATCACCAATTTAGTTTTTTGTACATATGTGCTTGTATTTTTTTTACATGTTTTAGTTGCCGTTATCGCCTCAGTGATCGTGTGGTTGTTTTTTAATGGCGGACAGTCGATTTTTACACATTCACTGTCAGGCGGACTCTCAATCTTACCGCGCGCTGGCGAAAACCTGAGGGGAAATAACGACTTTTAACCGAAAATAAACATTTAAAATCGACAAATAGTGTAAAGGTGCGTTAATATTTCGATAATTCGATCAAAACAAATCCGTAACATCCTGTAAGACCCGCCTGACCGCTAGATGATGTAAAAGGAGGGAACTTGCGTGTTTTACGAAGCTTGTTCAACTCCTGCGCTTTAACCGTTGCTAATATAAACACGAGCTTTCACATTTAATAAGACGTTATCATTTCAACACTGCAGATGAGTGATTGTGTTGGGAGTTCACATGAAAAAGAGCTCGCAGTTATTCATTTGGCTTGATGTAAGATTGCACGCGTGTGTATTTTCGGTCATTGTACTAACTATAATCTGTGCTGTATTGTTTTATCGCGTCGCTTAAGCTGCTCCTGTCATTGTTGATGTGCATTACGCCTACTCTAAACATCAGGCTGCCATCTTTACAGCACCTGTGTCTTCCAAAGACCGTGCTTTCCTAGTTATCTGCGTTAAATGTTATTTCCCCCCCATCTTATTTCACCGTTCAAACGTGCTTTTGTGCGATTTACAGTGGTTTCGTGAGGGAAAACAAAAGGAGATTCGCCCCTCGGTCGTTTAAAAGGCGCGTAGTGATGCTGGCAAACAAAAGGAAGCCGTCTTTGCCCGCGCGCACTGACAGCCGGGATTTGAATTTGAATATGCGCGGGAAGACAGTGCAGAAACAAAGTCATCCGTTATGAAAACCTGCGGCTTATCGTCTGTGACGTAAACGCGCGCAACTGTTACCGCGAACGTTCCATTTTATTTATTTATTTTTCGACCAATGTGTTATTTTTGTTTGTTTTCTATATATATATATATATATAAAAAAAAATCGGTTTCTAAAACGTTTTCGTGTTTTACTTTGTTTTTTTACAGATTGATGGTGAGAAGGCCGCCAAAGGCAAGGAGGAGGTTTGTCCATTTATGTATATATTTTTTAATATTTATATTACTGTATTTATATATTTTATTGTCTTATATAGTATTTTTTGCTTGTATCAGACTGCAAGCCTTATGAAGCTAAAGCAGAACATATTTCTGTGTAAATCACTTCTTAATAAGTTAAATTGACATAACATTTTACGTGATTTTCTTATTTTATTCTAAATGTACCCTGCTTGTGCTTGATGAATAATAACCTGACCTTTTTTTATGCTTACATTAATTTACAATGGCCATATTCACTATAATAGCCAATTAACTTTTTCTTTTTCTTTTTTCTTCAGTGAAATATAATAATATAAATGTTATATTGGTTACTCAGTCTTGATTATTTGATTACATTGATTGGTATTAATTCAGTATTATGTTTTTTTGCAGCCAACAAGACGCTCCGCAAGGTTGTCTGCTGTAAGTATCATCTTTAGGATCTATTTAATAAATAAATAATTATTAATGCTAAAGTTTCTTAGTCTAATTCATCTCTGAATTGATTTACAGAAACCAGCTCCTCCTAAACCAGAACCAAAGGCCAAAAAAGCCGCCCCCAAGGTAAGGATGTACAGCTTTGCAATAGTATTACATAACCGTTGAGCCGCTGAATATTGTTCCACTGATGGCAGAAGGCCTTGCCCACTTGTTAACCATCAAACCGCTAAGGTTGGTGTCTGTTATTATTTCTGCAATCATATTTATTGTCATTGGTTACACAGAAGGCAGCCAAGGGGAAGAAGGGCAGCAACCCTGCTGAAAACGGAGACGCCAAGGCAGACCAGGTCGGTCTGAAAAGTGCTTAAAAGAGTTATAAATAAAGGCATACATCTGCTTTTCGTTCACTATATCTGCTCTAGCAAAGCAACTAATTAGTGAAGCGTGTAAAGTTTGGTAATTGCTCAACCAAATCACTTCGGAACTGACTTTATTTTTTCTTTCTTCATCACTTTCCTCTAGGCACAGAAGGTTGACGCTGCTGGCGATGCCAAATGAGAAGCTAACGAGTGTCTGATCCTTCTATGTACTTGGTGACTGTACAGTTTGAAATAACTATTTTTTACCAAGTTTTATATTAAGAATAACATTTATAGTTGACTTGCTTTTTATGTACCGATTGATTTGACAGGAGTTACTATATTTCATTCATATCCATTTGTATCCCATTTTTTTTAATCAAGCCGTCTATATCTTGCCAAAATCTGTTGGCAAAACGCAAGAATATTGTCCTGAGCTTTGTTTTTTTTGCTTTATCTGTCTTTCTTGGTTTATCTTTGGATTTTAATCACCAAACATTCTCAAAAGGCAGCTTAAGAGTGTTTGTGAAATGTTTGCGGAAGGGGTTTCACCATGTTGTTAGCATTTAAACGTACAAATACTGTGTTTTCATTTTTAGTTTTTTAAAGGAAGTTACAATGAAATTGTCACTAGAAGAGAAAAAAAAGGTAAATAAGGCAACAATGTTGAATAAATGTACAATGTGAACCTTCGATTTCTTTAGAGCTGTGTGTTCTGAGCTTGTCTTGTTTATTAAGTTATGTTCTGCAACCGTAGAAGGATATTCAGTGACTCTTAAAATGCTTTGTTTTAAATGGTTTTGAATAAAAAAATAATAAACTGTCCAGAAAAAAATATATCATCTTTGTGTGTGTGTGTGTATATATATTTATAGGTATAGATTGTTTATATGTATTGATTATTTTGTAATATATTCACTATATTTTAAGAATATAATAATTTATGCATTTAGCAAACGCTTAAGTCATCCAAAGTGACTTACAGTTCATTCAGGCTATACGTTTTTTTACTAGTATAATTAAAAAAATAAAATTCTCCTTTTAGAATATATTTTAACATGTCATCTCAGCAATTTACAGGTGCTCTCTAATATAAGCCAATTGCAATAAATTGCTCTTCAATAGCAATTACCTTAATAGTAAATAAAAATACATGTTTTCTGGAAGCCTGTTTAAAAATGTAGGTTGTTGTAGTTACATTTGTTTCTCGCTAGATGTCGCTGCCGTGTAAAAGTTGAGCGAGCGCGATTCAAACTGTAATTCACTCACTGTCCAGCAGGTGGCTCTTTGGATTTGGCCGCGTGGATGTTCAGCAGCAGTATAGGATGAAATAAACATTTATTTCAAGCTCCGCAACACCTTGATTCGTCAAACACAGATGGTCGAAAACTTGTTTTATATCCTTTGTGTTGATACTTTCTATGAGAGTGGGAAGGCCTCCTCAGCAGTGCATTACTAGAAAGGCCTACAGATTCCTTGAGCTGAGGACGCTCATTGAAAAGAAGTGTTTACAAAGTCTTCTAATGAGCCCTATTTTAGCATTCATGAATACCTTCTTTCTTCTTTTTTTTGCATTAACATATATATATGTATATGTAATATTATTCATGGTATTTTCAATGATGATTTTCTTAATACTTTCATAATACACATGAAAATATCTGGGTGCAAAATATCTCATTGGCGCTAAAATATGATTTCTTATTTTTTTCTCTTTGGTTTTGGGATGAAACATTTTGGATGAGATTCACCCTTGTACTTTCAGTAATCAAGATCAAAAGTTAAAAGATCTTGTTCTATATAAGAGTTAAAAGAGCATTGTTTTACCACACATTTTATAGGTTCTAATGTTTTTTTACAGGTGTTTTTTCTCTTTTTGCTTTAGTTAGGGGTTGGTATGGCTGGATTTTTATGGCAAGTGTCAACAAGACCGGCCTCAGGGATTCAGATCATTTTAACTGAGCACTTATGAACTGGATTTAAAATCACCTGCAAAACAAACTGGGAAAATGTTGAAGGATGGCTCTGAAAGTTTGATAATTTTTAAAGGCTAATCTAAAGTGAAGTAATGGTAATTGATGTTCCATGTGGCTGTTTAAATAGTCTTTATGGTCAAGATTTGATGTCTGTCAGATTATTGCTATTGTTTTGCAATGCTTTCCTCATCTTTAATCCCATCAACAATGAAAATTTACACTAGAAACTATGAGAAATTAAGTTTTTCTCACTGAAAATAAACATTTGTTCCCTTCACCAAACCATGCTCCAAGGAAAAAAACAAACTAAAAAAAACAATTACGGCAACTCTGAATCAGGTCAATGATTCTCAACTTTGTAACGGCAAGGTCCCCCATTGTCAGTATTTGAAGGCCCCCCTACACAGGCTTTGGTATTTCCTACTTCCTCTGACTGAAATCACGAAAAGTGTTTGTTTTCAATCTTATTTTTAATTGTGAGAAACTATGGCTCTTAAGTTTTACATGCATTGTTGGTTACACTTTATTTCAATAGTCCACTTTAGACATTCTACTAACTATAAGTAACTTTGTAACTACATGCATCAGCCATATTTGGTTCATGGCAAAACAAACTCTTATTGTGTTTTCTTTTAACCCTGCTTTTGAACCTTGCGAAGGCCGTTTCAAGGTTTGAAGTTGTATCATTCATGGAACGCACAATTTTAAGTCAGAATGACAGAATGAAGTTGTTCGTTGGTGCACAAATTTTTTTCACAATAATCTGCATTCTGGATGGTTATTTAATCGACTCTTCCTCTCTGGTCTACAGGTTCACTCTTTGACATTACACAACCCCTGGGAGGTTCGTTTCAGCCTCGTCGTGCACAAAGACAGCAGCGATGATCATCAGGCTCGGCAGACTGACTCCTGGATACTTCCGTCTCCTGCAGGTGTGTATTTGTTCAAACTTGGTTCAGTCTGTAAATGTGTACGTTTTCAGATCGTTTATTTAAATGGCTCATATCATGAGGAACCAAAATTTCCTCAGTCTTTTGCGATAAAAGACTTTGTTGTGCTATGAAAACATACTGTAGCTTTCCAAACTCAACTTCCTTCCAAGTGGAAAACGCCATTTGTTCAAAATAACCTGCGAAAATGGCTTGTTCAGACATCAGAGACTCAACATTAATGTGACCGCTCACATTTACACGTCAACGACACCTATTCGGTATCAAAATAAAATGATAAAGCATGATATGATCCTTTAAAATGCATGCATATGTGACACTTGCATAATGGCTTTTGCTAGGAGAAAGTAATGTTAGTTTGGGATGTGTAAATCTGTCCATTGGAAAGATCAGACTGGTGCCGGTCTGGCTTTTACCCAAAGCCAGATCTCAGCTGCCCACTGCATTCCTCCTGGCTAAAAGCGACTGAACTCTAATTATACGAACAATGACTGTGAAGGGCTGAATGAAGGCTGTGTACACATGGGAAATACCACTTTAGATTCATTCCTCATGAGCTGGATGTAATTCTCACGACTTGGAATATAAAAATAGCATGAAAGCAGCAGGGGGGAATGGTTGTAAACAAGCAAGTGTCTTGTTTAATTTGCTCTGACTGACATTTGTTTTTAAAGTTTTAACATTTAAAACATCCAAAATCATCTCTCTTGAATCGCAGATTTAGTACATGGACTAATATTGGGAGGTAGCAGCACTACACTGTAAAAGTTGTAAATAAACTGATTAGGCCTATTTGAGTATGTTTCAGTCCTCAAAATTTCACATTTAATTCAATGTGTTACTTGCCATTTCTTTGTAACTAATTGTGAAATTTACTAGCAAATTATGAGTGAAAATCATTTCATAGCCATTTTTTTTTGCCGCATTATGCTACATTTTTTCATAGCGTCACAACAGCTCAAAATACTGCATATTTGATCAGTATCAGACTGCTGATCACTGTTTGTTGTATAGCTTACGTCTTCGTTAAATATCACCCAAGAACATTGCAAATCATTCTTGCAGTTTGAAAAAAATAATTGATGTTAGTCAGTTGAATAACCTTTTGCTTAATTTCCAATTCTACAACAATTTTTCACAGAAATCTGAACCTTACGTTTGCACTGCGTAAAAATGTGTACATTTTTGTGAACCGGTCCCAAAAAAACCCATCAGGCATCCTTATTGTTAAGCCCTGCTTAATGATTGTATACTTTAATCTTTTTAATCTTAATCATTTTACTATTCTTAGACCCGTCTAAACCTACTTGCTTTAATTGCAGAGTGACTTGTTAAACTGTCTTAATGTCACTTTCCTGATACTGGCTTAAACCTGTGTGTGGCGTCACTCGTTTAACTGTTTTATTCACTTATCATAACAAATGCTGTCATAATCTGGTTCTGATTTAAAAAAAAAAATGTTGGAATTGACTCCCTTTTTGTTTTTTTGTATGCTTTTGAATAGAAACTGTTCCTCTCCTGCTGTCTGAACGTGACTTTATTGGCAGTAAATATTTAATGATTTCATTCAACCCACATGACTGAGCAGAACATTGGTCCTCATGAGGAAGTCCGATGAGTGTGCAAAATGTCGGTGCATGTGCAAGAGGGTTGGCCTTGTTATCAATAATTTTTTCCATTATTTTTGCAGAGGCAGGTAGCAGGTGAGGTTCAGGCCCCAACGCACGACCGCGCCGTCAACCAGATCGCCATGATGCTGGCCATCATGGGCCTCAGCCTGTCGTATTACAGTGCCAAACAAATGACCGAGAAGGTTCGTCGCGAACCCGCCCCGTGAAGATGTACGAATGCGCTCCGGATTGACGGCGTCCATAAAGATGTTCAGATGTCGAAGATTCAGACTCTACCTTTCTATAACCTCTAGGGATCGCACCTCTCGGGACTTCTGCTTAGGGGTTCTCTTGCTTTAGTTTAGCTCTCAATGGATCTGGAAGGGGTTGTGGCCTGAGTTTTAATAGTTGACTTGATGCATGCATCAGAGAGTCAGTCAGTTCTGCTGTAGATTCAAAACCTGAGCTTCACATTGCATCTGGAGGTCCACTCTGAGCCATAATGTGTTTTAAAAAGGAAAGGACCTCTGTGTTTGAGATGTACCAAGCAACTATTGAAAGCAGGTCCAATGCACAAGAGTGAAATGCTCAGATTTTCCCCCAAAAGATGCTATTGAAGAACATCAGAGGCTTGGGGACTTATAGTGGAGGTGCTGCTCTACAATACTACACTTGGTGTTAGACACTTTAGGAAATGTACTACACAGGACCTTATGTTAAAGTGACTTGTTCTTTTCATTAGAACTTAAGAAAATATCTTCTCATTGGTCTCCAACACTTTAGATGTTAATGCTGACTTTGTGTGCAATTGCATGAGTTTTATTGAAACCAATCTGTAATGTTCTTTCTAATGCTTTTTTATGATAATGTGATTAAGATGAATGTACTGTATGTTATATTTTTAAGACACAACGATCAAATAAAGCTGTGAATATTTTGAACACGATCAAGTAATGGAAAGCAAGTCGTGACTCAAGAAGGTTTAGAAGAACGTTATGAAATTTGGCCAACTCATTCCTGCTGAGTCGAGTTTACACGAAACCATATGAAAGGTTTTCCTGTCGGCAGAAGCGTGCTGTTGAACAGGAAGTGGGCACAGCCTCAGGCAACAGCTTCCTCTATCTGCACGCAATATTTGTCTACCAGTGTGCTGCAGCTGGCTTTATGTTTGACCCACTTACCAAATTCAATAGACCTCAATTAAACATTTGCACACCAAGTAACTTGAGGCGTGTCTGCTGTGTCGCTCCCCTGATATGCTAAGCAATTTAGGCCAGAAATTTACTCGCGGATGCTTCAAGCTATCAAGCATTTTTTGGTATGTCTTTGTGCTTTAAATTGTGTTTGAGTGCAATTTGTATTGTGTTGCATTCTCAGCATTTCCAAAAGGGTGCTATGGGGGGCGTTAACATTTCTTTTTAAAGAGAAAGTTGCTAAATAAGTTCAAGTAACCCTCATGTTGCATTCTGGCCATTTTAACCTGGAGAAGTTTTTCTTTTTCCTGAAAATTTGAGGTAATTTTATTGCACTGGACTAAAATTTACTGACTTCCCAAAACAACTCAAAAAATTATTTTGGGGGATTTTTCTTCTTCTGCCATCTTGTTCTGCTTGTGGTGCTTCCCAGTCAAAAATAACCGTCCTACAAAAAATGCATATCAATTTCTTATGCTATTTTTATTGATTTGCTTTATTTCAATTAGCACCGTTTTTTTTTTTTACCGATTACTCGTAGACCTCAATGATCTGAGCTCATGCACCTCAGTTTTTGAGTGAAAATTGACAATTTTACACACGTAATGAATTGTTTTCACTCAAACTGAGGTGCATAAGCTCAGATCAATGAGGCCTATGATCTTTTTTTGACGGGGTTTTCAGCACAGCACACGGTTTAATGTGGTGGTTTAATGACACCGTTAAAAAGAAGAAAAAATCTTTCACCACATGAGTGTTGAGTTTCGTTATTACCACAGTAATGCAAAAATTAGCATGGTGTGCTAATAATGTGTTAGCCAAGCATTTGTGTACTTGCAAAAAGTATGTTTCTGGCCTTTCATTCCACTAATATCCTGCATATTATCATTGTGAGCTATCCTTTTTATCAGACAGACTTAGCAGCAGTGCAACGTGTTTGTGCACCTGATAACTGAAGTGAGATTACTTACAACTTGATGTTCTGTGAATCAAAACCTTATTATAGTCTTCCTTAAACTCAGAATTGTTTCAGAAACTCAAATCTTGAGTCTGTTGAGCGTGTGAAGGCCGTGAGGAAGTTGGAAATGTCATGCAGTTTGCTTGCTTGCGTGCTGGCTACTGCTGATTAGTTCTGGAAGATGCTGTTGGTTGCCTTTTTGAAAGTCAAAGACTGAGCGTTGGGTCCTGAAGCGTGCAATTGTTTTATGCTAAAATACTTTTGTTTTATTTCAGCTAAAATAGTTTATTGCTCTGTTTGAACATGCAGACCGGTCTGACACTACAACTTTGACTCTGTTTACATTTTACATTTCTGTTTGGTGGAGCAGAGTTTATACACTTCAACTTGCCTGCTTTATTTTGGTTAAAACCCAATGGTGAAATGCATTTTAGCTGCCACCAAACAAGTCTGTATTGTCTTTGTTTCCTTCAACCTCCATGATTTGCCCATTGTTAAGCAGTTAATGTGGCATTGCAGTCTGTATGTGTTCATAAGCGTTCGCATGGATGCTCGGGGCAGATGTGATGTCCTGTGACAGGCCGAGGCTACATTGCGTGACACGTGTTATTCCTCCTATCACCTTTAGCTCCTCCCTTTCCCGCTCTGCTGTCTGATCACTGGGCAAATTTGCTCAAAAAATACTGCTGGGACCGTTTTAACATGCTAGTTTAGGACATGAACCGCAACACGCTCGTCCCATTGGCTGTCCGGTGATGCATCATGGTGTTGTTGCAGTTGCAAGCTGCAGAAACAAAGCGAGGGGATCACGTTGGCGAAAGAGTATTGCACATGGTTGCTTTATAAAAACAGAGAAGGGATTAATAAAGAAATAGACCTTAATATGTGGTCTTTTCTGTTTGGTTTGATGGTGGTTCATGGATGTAAATGTGGAAGGAACACTTTCGAATAATGTGTGACTGATATTGTAGCATATATGAAAGTTTTGTATTAACGAATGAGACTTTAAAATATGAAGGACTGAAAGGTTTTGTTGCTCATGTAACGTTTCATTAAAATGATTTCAATCATATGTCTCATTTCTATTGTTGTTTTCATGACCTCACACATTTGTCCTAAATAACTGGTTCTCAACTGGGTCAATGGGTTGCAGACCGCAGAGAAAAAATAATGCTGAATGTAAATAGTACAATGCAACTTATTTATTTGTGCATTATTTGACACAAAAGCAGAAGACTGAAAGCTTCATTCACAGTGCACATTAATAGAAGCCTATGCAAAGAAGCAGAAGACTATGGAAGGGCATATCCACAACATAAATAAAAAATCATGCTATAGGGAAATCTGAATTATGAGATTAAAAAAAAGTCAAAATCATGACATACTAAGCTGTAACTTTCACAACTGACTTTATATCTCATAACTATAACTTAATAACTCATAATTTCAATTTATCTCATAATTATGACTTTGTATGTATTTATATTGACTTTTATCTCATAATTGTTTTTTGTCCATTTCAACGTTTTATCTCTTAATTATGACTTGGTATGTCATCATTTTGAGTTTTTATCTTATAATTATGCCTTTTAGTCAAAAGTCAAAATTACAAAATACCAAATCATAATTATGAGATAAAAAAAGTAAAAATTATAACATAAGTCCTAATTACGATATAAAAAGTCATAACTATCGTACAAAGTTTGACTTTTAATGCATAATTTACTTTTTATCATAATTTAAGCTTTTGTCATAATTGACTTTTTATCTCATAAATTCGATTTATCTCATAGTTATGACTTTGTATGGTAAGTTTGACCCTTTTCTGATAAATGTAATCTTTTGTTCTCATAATTTTGACATATCGTATGTCAACTTATTGACTTTTTTATTAATAACAACTTTTTTCCCTTGTTTGGTAAAAATAGACTTTCAGTGTTATAAAATAAAATTGTAGTCTTGGTCCTCAGATGTTTCTCCACAGATGAGATTAGATGTTATCAGATTCGTCAATCTGGAATCAAAAGTCACACATTTCAGTAAGAACTTAAACATTTCTCATTAATTTTATAACTCTGCTCTCTGAATTCTTTGAATTCTGTATTCTGAGAAGTAAACAAGTTCACGCTTAATTCAAACTGTGAATCACATGTGTATGAGTCAGTGTTGGTGTGTTTGGTGCAGTAAAACCGTCCCTCTCTGTGTGTTTGCAGTAGTTGCTATAGTAAAACATCATGCATTTCAGTCAAATACTCTTGAAAGGCAAAGTCTTTCCTGTCTGATGTGCAGCCAGACGGCAGGTTTCTGCAGAAAAAACATTCTTAGACGTGGCCATTTTGGGGAATGCAGCTTTGTAAAGATTATATATAGCATTAGAGAAGTTGAAATGATGAGTCAGGAAAATGAGAATGAAGACCATAACATAATCTTATCATTATGGAGTCATTTTCTTCAGCTTAATTTAATCTGAAGATAATTGTAAGTTACACTCTGCCATCTGTTAGCACATTCTGTTGTACTCCGCAAACATGCTGATTGGATTTTAACCTAATGCAATGAGAAGGAAATTAAAGTATTTTATTGCTTTTTAACCATTTAATATCTGATTTAAGAAATCTTCAATAAAATAAAAGTGCATTACCCCCCCCCCCCCAAAAAAAATAATACATTAGGTACACACTGTAGTATATATGAAGTAAAGTATGTCTTTTTAAAAGTACATTTAAGTGCACTTTTTACGCTTTTTTTCAAGAGCTTGATTCATTTTTAAATGAGAGCATCTTTGCCCTGGAGCAACATGAGATCAGCATGTCTAACCACACAAAGCATGTTTTAGCAAAAGACTGAACGCTTCATTCACAGTGCAAATTCATAGACTCCCAAGACCGGAAGGCCATTTACACAACATAGGAATAAAAATTATGCTTTAGGAAAATCTGATCTGAATTATGAGATAAAAAGTCAAAATTATGACTCGAGTCAGCTTTTACAACTGACTTTTATCTCATAACTATGACTTAGTACATCATAATTTCAACCTTTTATCTCATAATTATGACTTAATGTCATAATTGAAACTTTTCTTCTCATAATTATGACTTAATGTCACAATTTAGACTTTATCTCATAATTATAACTTATTGTCATAATTTCAACTTTTCATCTCAAAATTGACTTAATATGTCATAATTCAGATTTTTTATCTCATTATTGACTCAGCATGTCAATGTTTTACTTATCTCATAATTGTGATTTAGTATATCATTATTTTGACATTTTAACTCATAATTATGAATCGTTATAATTTTGACCTATCTTCTAATTATGACTTAGTATTTCATTGTTTTTACTTTTTTATCTCATAATCGTGACTTAGTATTTCATTATTTTGGCTTTTAATCTAATAATAATGATAATTTAATCTAATGATAATAATTTAATGTCATAATTTAAACTTTTTATCTCATAAATATGACAATGTCATAATTTCAACTTTTTCACCTCATAATTATGACTTAGTATGTCAAAATTCAGACTTTTTATCTCATAAATATGACTCGGTATGCCATCATTTTTACTTTTATCTCATATTTCTGACAGTATTTTGTTATTTTGACTTTATCTCATAATTATGACTTAGTATGTCAGTTTAGACTTTTTCTAATAATTATGATTTTTTTAATCTCACAATTTAGACTTTTTATGTCATAAATCTGAAATTTTATAGAACTTTTTAAAAAAATCTCATAATTAAGATTTACCAAAGCATGATTTGTCTCTTATTTGGAGGAAAGG